CTTTTCTCCAGTGGAAGGTGAGCCCCAGTTTGGCAGCTGTCATACAACTTCATTCCTTCTACTTTTTTTTTTTTTACCTCTCATTTTCTCTCTGTTGTGCAAAAATAGTATCAGTAACACATTTATATCCTGCAGGAAAGGTAACATGTGGACAATGTTGCAAAACTCCAGGTGGGAGCTGCGGCTGTTGTACAGAAATGACATATGTAAAAGTTACCAAATATACACAGAAGCTTTGAAGGAGAAAGGTGTGATTTCAGAGAAAATTATCTCTTGCTTCCTGAGACAAATGGGAAACCAGGTTGCTTGCCCCTCATGGGAGTTTTCATGGCACTGGATTACTTACAGTTAGCCCTCAAAGTCTTTAAGTGAGGTGAAGGACACCTTGCCTATGTCCGCCTCTCTTTAGTAAGTAAAGATATTGCTTTGTATTTAGGTAAAAGTGAAGGTTAAGATTAGGTCTAGTGGTGGCAGGAGGAAGGAGAGACTGAGGAGGACAGATCTCTCTGGAGGCTTTCCATCCTCCCAGTCCCTCGGATGGGTCTAAGCTATCTCCTGTCCCCAGCACTGATCCAAGAGCCACCTTTTCCTGCCTGTGTGGCTCAGCCCTGTTTGCTGCTGAGCCTACCGTCCCTGCGAACTCTTGCCTTCAGCATCTGGCGTGGGGTGGGGAGAGGCTGAGGCTGAATTGACATGTTACATCACTCCAGCACACCAGCACCAGGCTTCTTGCTACCTGTATGAGCTTTCTTTGCTGGAAAGCTTCATTGCATGCAGGGCTGGCTGCATGAGACAAGGAGCTTGGCTTCCTACAGACCTCACGTGGCATCCAAAAGCCTGCAGATCCTGCCCACAATGAGCTTTGTATCCTTGTCTATAGCGCTGAGCACATTCATCAGCAGTGCCTTGGTTTGGAGGCATGAATTCAGAGGTGTATGTGAGTCAGGACAGGACAGCTTATACCTCAGTTCATTTACAAGTTACCTGTGTCCAGAATCACATATGGGAGAGTTGTCACTCTGCACGTTACTGTGAACACTGCTGCAGTGCTTCTGAGACACTCAGCTTGGCCTGAGGCCCTAAGAAAGGCCACATCAGTTTCTAGTTTCTGACAAACCAGGGGGCTACAGGGGCCGGACAGACACGGTGTGCCCAGCACTGCTAGCAGCTGACTGACAGCAGTAGCATTTTGGAGCCGTGCTGATGAGAAAATGCCAATGTTTAGTGAAAAGCGCCTTTTTTTTTTTTTCTTGTGGGAAACGAAGGTTTTAATGAAATTTATTTATGTGGATAGAAAATCCTAAGTATTTTTAAAAACTCACAGACAGAATGTTTCATCCTAAATCAGAAATATTCCCATTGAAACCAGTGTCCTGTTTACTTCACAAGAACTATAGCTACATTCCCGTTTTCTTCCATGTGTAGGACTCTGTAGCTGAACTACAGCTTCCCCAGTGGCACTGCAGCCAAGGACTCTACCAGTGACAAGCTCTTTTTTTTTTCACAGGCAGTGCTGTATCCTGAAGCATGAAATCTGTGCAGCTAACCCACAGGGAGAGTGGGATATCCAAACCCCAGAGCCTGTGTGCCACTGCTGCTCTGGTATGAATGAATGAAATTCTGTCTCTTTTATTCTCCCTCCTGCAATCCATTTTAATAAAAATCTAAATTTTCTCCAGAAGGGAAGAAAGCAGCTGATAAGGAGGAAACATAATAATTAGACAGAGCCAGTTATACTTGTTGTCCATCTGTTGGCTCTTGTTCTGCCAGTGGCTCCCTGGTAGTGTCCATCACTTCCCTGTCATTCAGCAGGGATACCCCCACTTTCATAAACCAGGGCAGTGAATGTCAGGCTTACAGCAGGAACCAGTGGGTCTTTACTTCAGCAGAAACAGGGCCCAGCCCTGAACTCATCCTACTCACCCTGATATTCTCCCAAAGTTGTGATCTTTTCAGCGCAGATTTTGTCTTCTTTCATCTCATTCTGCATATAGACATTGGAGCATAAGTTAGCTCCTGAAATAAAAATCAAAGCAGAGCACTTGACTTCAGAAGAATAGGAGGCCCAAAAGGAAAGAAAGAAAAGAAGAAATAAAGAAAGGGGCCTCTTAGGTAGTGGGTTGAACAGATGCCATGGGTTGTTATAGCAACTTGAGTTCTAAAAACAGGAGAGAATACCCACATGCTGCCACACCTACTGAAGAACCCACACTCCAGATTTCAAAATTGAGGCTTTGAGGAAACACCTATTTCCTATTATTAAAAAACAAAAAATTCCCCAAAACAGTGCGTGAGGCATCCTCAGAAAAATCCACATACATCATCCTATGAAAGAAAAGAGCTCTTTAAGATGCTTTGGAAAGGCTCATGGTATCATTTGTTTATGATATTTAAAGCAGTGTGTGTGCATGCCTGTATGCCTATGTGTGATGTGGATTTCAAGTCACAAAGAGAACTTGAAAGCCTTCCAGCAAAAACGAAACCACTCTGACAAAGAGCTTGTGAAGACAATAACTGGCAGCAGCAGATACCAAGGTGACAGTGAGTGCTGTAACATCAAACCTGAAACACTTACCAGTTTTGTGTACTTGTATGAGAAATAATGACTCCTCAGACAGTGTCTGTCTCTGTCAGTGCAGGGAAAAAACACTGATTAGTAGTAAATCTAGGAGAGAAAGCTTCAGGCAGGTATAATGAAAAGTTTTTATAGCAAAATACCATGTGAAAATGTGTAAATCAGACTCCATGTTCTGGTAAAAGCATGCTTTACTATGACCTAGGGAACTGAATACGCATCTTTCTCTTGACTCAGTTGAGCCCTGCATCAGGCCTCATACTTGCATATGAAGTGTTGCTTGGTTTAGGATCTTTATTTGTTCCAATTTTAACTAACTTGTGTAAGAGTGTAACACCCTAAGTTGCTCCCCTGAAAAAGGCAGGGGACTTGAAAAGCCACATTTTGTTATTATTCCATAGTTTCATTTTGTGGCGTTCTTTATGTCTATTTGTGCTTAAAGTCACCTGTGAATTCATGCCTTGGGTAACCTATCTTCTAGCTGGCTTCACATAGCAGCTCACAGCACCAGACTGAGATCCAAGTCAGTGCTTTAGTAAAGGCTGGCTGCTGGGAAGGGGGCAAAGTGAGCACAGGGCTGTCCTTGACACTTGGAGAGCAACATCTGGATAGGCAGCAATTTTCTCAACAGGAAGGCAATAGAAAGACTGGACACAACCTTGAGTCTCTGCACTGTGGAGACAGCAGCTCTGCTCCAGGCTGGGACAGCCAGCTGGTGATTTAAGGGTGGCAGCCTTGAGGCACTTGCATGGGCACTTTTGCCCCCCCCAGCTGGTGTGAGGCAGAGCCTGGGGACCTTGAAAAGCAACCTCAGCAGCTGCCCCAACCTCTTCTTCCCTCTCTAGCAGGCACAAGGCAGCACAGAAGAGTTTTGAGGGTAGGTTAATCAAAGCAAAATGTACAAGTTGCTCAGGTATGGCAGTGAGGCAGTTCAGATGTGTGTGTCAGGGAGAAACTCTCCATTAACACCCATGGGAGCTCCCATAGGTAGGAGATTTTGCCTGCACAGAGCTCCTTTGAGAGAGAGAACGTACGGATTTTATATGGTGGAGAGGTTCCCCTCTTAGCCCTCCATTTAGCTTCACCCATCCCACCAGCTCACATTGCAAAAGCAGAATCTGTGGCAGAGGATATGTGCTAGCAATATGTGCTAGCAAGAAGAAACCATTGCAGAGCGTGGTCATGTTTGTGGCCAGGATTGACAAGACACAAGTCTGATGGGTTTTTCTGTGATTTCTTTTTCCTTTCAGTTCCTAATGTTGATGTTTTACTGTATTGGATTTCATTGTGATTTTTGATGGATGCTGGGGTATGCCCCTTTCCCTGGAAGAGCTACAGTCCCACTATGCAGGCTGCTGCAAGCATTCTCTGGCCTATTGGGTCAGTACAGCTGGGTAATAAGCTGGCACAAACCTGCATAGAGCTGAATGAATCCTTGTTTGGCTGGAAGACAGTCAGTGGGTGCTACAGCAGGCCCAGTAGTTACTCCCTAATGTCTTTGAACTTTTCTCTCCTACCTTAGTCTTTCCTAAAGGTATAATTTTCAGTGGAAGCTAGCTCAGACCAGCTGGTTCTTTGTAACTCATCTTCCAAAAATAGTGCATCTGGTCAGAATTCCTCTTCTCTCTCCCTTTAATTCAAATACAGCTGAAAGATATTGCCCAAACATACCTCCAGTAGTAATAATATTTAACGATACATCTTCAGACAGAAAAGAATATGGAAGCTATTAAACCCAGAGGCAAATATTTTCTGAGTTATGAGTGTGAGAAAATTGAGTCATAGGTAGAATAGGAATGGTTTTGCAATCTTCATAGCAGGTGTTAAACCCAACCTGCTAAAAAAATTATTTATTTGTTTTAAAAGTGTAACCTGGGATTTGCAAAGCTATCCTGGAAGGAGTGTAGAGGAATACATTTTCATTGGTGCATAAATTCAGCTGGAGTTTCGGAAGGTAGGGTGTGAATGAGAGGTACTAGTTAATGGAGGGAGGAGGTCTGGTTTTAAGAAATATGATTAAAAAACCCCCAAACATACCCAGGAACAGGAAAATCAAATGAAGTGTTAGATTCGTTTGATTTGTTGGTAAATGCCCAACCACCGGTGTAGAGCAGTCCATGGTAGAAGCTCAAGTGCACGTCTAACATTGGTATGTTGTGGAACAGCTGTTCGACTTAATTCTGAGGGATTTGAGACAAAATAGGCTTTAAGAGAGATTTCTCCCGGCAAACTGGCACTAGTGCTGTGTTAGACATGGTGCAGTTACTGTGTGAGCTGGCACACAGCTTCTGCAAAGTCCCCAAGTGAAAGCTACCATGTAGTGCTTGCTCTTGTATTCCATAATGGATTTGTCAGAGAAGCTTTTCTTAATGGTCATGTCTGTCACACTGAATGAGAAACACAGGGTTGTTTCTCCTCTCTGCAGAACTCAACATCATGGATAAAAGCAGGAATAAAAGAAACAGGCTCATGCTTGTACAAAACCAGCTTAGCACAAGGAAGGTGTCAGCAGCCATTGGTCTACCTAGAAGAGCAAAGACAGCTGCTGGGCATGTGAGCAGTTTGGCTGTACCCTCCCAGGTGAGCTTGTTGGGTCTCAGCAGGACATCTCTTCTGGGGACACAGGGTCCCAGGGGCCCAGACATGAAGGTCCCACCCTGCACCCGGGAGGGAAGCTGCAGAGTGGGTCCCCCTTGGGCCTGGGCCCTGCTGCAGTGGTGCCTGCACTGCAAGGTGCCTGAGCAGCAGCGCTGTTCTCTGTGGCGTGAAAGCCCCCATAGCAAGTGGCAGTGGAGATCTAAGCAATGCCAGGTGGGGAGCTATACATTTCTGTCTCAAGAAATGTTTCTGAGATGAACACAAATGAGACCAATGAAAGTTTCATTCCAGGAAAAACAAACCAGACCAAAGGGCTTTCACGCAAAGGCAAATCCCTACTCTGCCTGATTTTTTTTTACGTCCATAGTTTCCCTCTCAAGATTTCCTTTAGGCAATCTCACTGGAAATCAGGAATAATGTGGGAAGGAGGGCTTATCTGCTTAACAACCAAAGAGGTCCAGACTCCCATTTTACCTCCAGAGGAGGCAAGAAGATTTAATTGTTGAGATCAACTAGAAAATGGGATGCAGTCTTCATTCTCCTGTTGGGTGGTAGAGTGGGGAAGGAATAAAAGACCAGATTTTGTCCTTGATCTTACTAAAAAACCTTCTGAGCCTTCTTTGAAAATAATTCCTGGCACAGTCAGCTTTAAACCTAAGTTTGACTTTTTTTTCCTCTCCTTATACCAAACATGATTAGAACATAGTATGGATTAATTGCTCTGCCAAATGTCATTCCTATAAATCAAATCTGTTTTCTGACATATGAGTGAGTGTCTGAATACTCCAAAGCCATTAAAAATATCTGCATAATTTTAAAACCTGCTAAATGTTGTTGTTTTCTCTCTCTCTCTCTTTTCATTCTTGGTACAGTATGGTATGTTACTGTGATGATGAGAAGTTGAATGGCAAGTTTCAGTCAAATGCAGGTTTTTTTTTGCAATCCAATCCTAAAATCTTGACAATGGCACTTACAGTGGAAATGCCACCAACTGTAAATTTACACACGGACAAAACTTGGCATCCCTAATCAGCTCTTTTTCAGGCATAACTTGTGGGATCTCTGCCCACATTCTCTCTGCAGGAATTGGTGTTATCCCACTACTGAAGAATTCATGTGTTAGCGCCCCAGGTGTGTAACAGCATGCGGGACAGAGTCTCCAGGGCTCATCCTACTGGTCTGTACTGTGTTTCCTTTTTAATATGGCAGAAGTGCCTGTGGTAATAATGACCACCCCACCATCTGATTACTGTATCCTGCAACTACAGCTGGTGAAAAATTACCCAGCACAGCATCTTTTTTTCATTGGTAAAGGCTGATTCAACATATCCGAAACAGTTTGTGGGACTTCAGCATTTCTGCCAGTTCTTGAAAGGAACCAGCCACATGGGCAGGCAGATCTGTTCCTGTGTGACTGCCCTTCTCTTGAGACCCATGAGGTTTTGGGCCAGGTTTGCAAGTGGCTCATTTCCTGCCCCTACCCATGGCCCCTGTCAGTCTCTTCACCCTTGAGTTGGGACACAGTCAGCCTGGAGAGACTAGCAGCCTGTGTGACAAACTGAAACATTCATTTGGGATCTCATAAGCTTATTTTAGCTTTTTTTAACATGTCCATGCCCCCCCCCCCCCCCCCCCCCGGGGTCACCCTCCTGCAGTGGGGGACACACAGAGACATCTTCAACAGTTCTTGTCTTGATTTAGAGGAACAGTTTTTATCATCTTTTACCAGAATCAGTTTGGTTTCACAGTTGTCTCTCTCGGCTCAAGTGCCTGGACAGAAAGACAAGTTGCTTTAACTGGCCTCACCCTGGTCCAGAGCCCACCAGCACCCACGAGGGCCTCTCCTTGCTCAACTGAGTTTGTGAGCAAGGCTCAAGGGGCCAGTGGAGTAAGCGCACTGAGGAATCTGATGGCTTTTCAGGTTTCCCTCTTGGACCTGCAGTTGTGTCCTTCTGCCACAAAGGCAGACAAAAAGGTCTTAAACCATTTGAGAAAGGGGCCAGTCTGGTGAAGAAAAGAGCTGTGCTTCTTCTTGCGGCAGAAACTGCCTGCTTCTGAGGTGGGCTCTCCTGGCTCCCCCTGTGCCTCCTCCTTCAAGGCAAATGTTACTTCTGCTTCATGCCACAAGCGCATCTTTGAGAAGCCAAGGCAGCTGTGCCCCCCCTGGGTGGAGGAACATCCATCCTCTGTGTGCAGTGGAGAGTGATCCAACAGCATGTGAGCCTGACCCCACAAGCTGTCTGTACTGGGTGCACTGCTCACTGTCCTGGGAGGCTCATCCTGGATTTCTTTGATTTTTATTTTGGGACACCTGTTCTTCAGATCAAGCTCAGCTGATTCAGTTTAACAAGTCTTCTGTGCCCACTGTCCTAGGATTTTATTGCGTTTTGTCTATTTGCCCCTCTAGCTAGTTTCTTTCAAAGGTCCATCTCAAAGAAAGATGCTTCTTTGACACCAAAAGCTGGAAATTTTTGGCATTTCCAGTAGTTTTCTCCTTTTTTTGATGAGGTTGCTCAAGTTGACTAAATTGTCAAGCACTTTTAGTCATCCTAATTATTTTCTTTTTTTTTTTTAGCAGATGAGTTATAAGAATGATCTCCCATGATACTTTTCAAACTATTTCTCATTGGTACAAATTCAAACACTTACTGCCCAGCATTGAGAACTATGCTGCACCACACTCTGATGAAAATGGACACAGGGCATAATGTCATTAATTCAGTTTATATCTTGTGAGTATTATGTAGCTAAACATGATGCTGTGATACGGAAAATGCAGTTCCTGCCGTTTTACCCTCTCTGACAGGATTTTTCTCTGAACTGAAGCAGCACACTGGGAAACTGGGTTCCTCAATTTCATAATTTGCCTAAACCCTAAGTCTGTTGGCACCAAGATCTAAACAGAAGGGCTGAGAAGGAGAGATGTCTGAGGAAGCAAGTAATTTTATGTGTCTACCAATGCTGTAAGACATTGGTAAAGAGTCAAAAAGTCCTTTAATGGCAACCATCCTTAGCGCCTTCTTGCCAGCAGTGGGTTCCACCTTTGAAGAGCCATTTCTCCTGGTTTTAAAGATAAGAATGGAGCAAAACTATTTCAAGACACCATAAGGCCTGCTGAGACTAATGTGAAGGATCCAAAAGTATCATCATCTTCCAGTTCAGCATGGCTTCATTAAAACTGCCCAGAGCAGTCAAAGCAGCGCAAGACAGTGTTATCCAGCAAAGGGTGGTGGGGTGTGAGAGGGGAACTGGTTTTGTATCATCATTGATCTTGGGCAAGAGGTTTTACCTTTCTTTTCTGTTCCCATATCTTGATTTGCCTAATCTGTATATTTAGACTGTGAACTCTGTAGCTGAAACTATTTTGTACTAAAAAGAAACACGTGTACACCGCATCTAGGGTAACAAGAAAAGGACTCTTTCCATGGAATACATATAAGGGGACCCACTTATTTTGAGACCTTATGGTGAAAACTGTGCAAGTGCACAAGCACAGAGTGCACTATTATTTGTGTCTGGGTTTACGCAGCTTTTCAAGTAGGGAGTTCAGGTTATAGGCAGACAGAACAGGCAGAGGATGCAGTAACCCATATGAAATCTGGCTGTTGCTGAGTGAACCTCACTGAGTTAGGTTTCTCCTACCATCTCTGAGCCTCTTCAAGGATGCTGAGGAGGATGTGCTGGGAGCTGTCAGCCTGCCATTCCACCCTGAGAGCTAGGTAAGGACCAGTAAAAATGCTGCTCGATATTGCTAGGTACAAAACAGGTTTGTAGCCTGAAATTGGGCTCAGAGGGGAGTGATTTGCCTGGAAATGACAATGCAAACCGTATATAAGTTGGACCTGCTGAGCCAGTATTCTGCCCAGGCTATCCTGCAAAGAAGCTTAGCCTGAAGTGTGCACTAGCACAGTACAATATGTCCTGGGTGGAGGTTAAAGGCCAAAAGCCTCTTTGTGCACGACTGGTTTTCCTTCACTTTTCCTGAGCTATGGAGCCAGAAGACAGCAATAGTAGTTCTCCATGAGGCTTTATTAGCATCAGCTGTCAAAGCCACCTGCATTTGTAACCCATCGGTGTATTTTTCCTTAGTATCATTGTTTGTTTCATGAATATATTCTTCCCACATCTTTTCAGCTCTAATTCCCAGTAACAGCCTGGGAAACCAAAGCAGGTAGAACAACTTTTTAAGCAAAATCCCTCTTTTTGTTTAAGAATGCAGCTTTACCGAAGCAAAGTTGATGAAGATAGAAAGTAATGTTTTTATTACCTTTTTGTCTCAAACTGAAAAATATTGTTATTACATAACTCTAATCCAGTATCTGGAATTGTATCAGAAGATAAGCTGAAACAAAAGTAAATGCTTCCCTCACACACAGTCTGCGTAACCAGCACTTGAAATATACATATTAAGGAAAAAAAGCTTGGTTCGAATACAGCTGTACCAAGCTGTATAGCTGTTGTATGTGTGTATGTATGTTCCAGACAACAACTCAGGAGAAATGAAGGTCAAATACAGAAACGCCCAGAATCAGCTGAGATGGAGAATGCAAACAAACCATCGGTGGCTTCACATTTCTAAAAGTCAGTATAAAAAAAACCCTAAGATTTTGGGGGTAGTAAGGTTTTTGTTAAACTTAGTTTGATTAAAGCATTTCAAATCTGCCCGAAGTGAGCCCTCCTCCACTGCAGAGTTTTGCTGCACCAGGATAGGCAAAATACTCTGCTACTTGTCACTTTAGCACCTGTGAACTTTTTAATTGGCTGCTAATGGGCTGGCTGGAGCCTGGTGGGAGTTAGGCATGGGATGAGCAGCCTTTTTGGAGCACAGCACAGCACTGCCAGTTTTTCTCCTGGAGCTAAATCTTTTTGCTTTAGTCTGGTAAGTCTTTCTATTTTGGTTTCTTTGTGGGCTGTATTTATTTATTTCTCATATACTCTGGATCCTAGTAGTGCTCCTTTGAGAAAGAGAGCAGAAGTTTAGG